TCCAATTCCTTCTCCTTCTCTTCCAGTTTTCGTCGAAAATTTTCAATATGCGTATTAAGCACCTGTTGTAAAAGCGTGCTTGCTTATGCAAATTAAATAGTTAAAAAAGAAAAAGAACTCATACTCGCAGTATAGTAAATTAAGTTTGCTCTAAAAACATAGCTGTTCAAAATTTGAATCTGAACAAAACTTTACCGCTATACTTTTATTTTCTTGTTCCATGGCCTTCTTTGCTGATATCGCCGATAATTCCTTGGCATGATTCGTACTACCATCTTTAGGTCGTGAATTCGCCAAAGCTAAAATTTTGATAAGCCTTAAATACGCTGAGAATTCTGAAAACGTAACAATCGAGTGTGCGTTTCAAAATTTTGACCTGAAAATCCGAAAAACAACTAACTTTAGTTGCTTGCACTGTAGCTGTTCAAATAAAGAAAATTAGACTAAATAAAGACCCAGTGTTATCAGCTGTCAGTTACAAAATGCTGTATCTTTAAAAAGAAAGTTTTAAGTGGTCACTCCCTTTAAACGTTCAGAAGGCACCGCAAGCAAAAATACTGCTTTTTTTCTTCTCCACTACCTAACTGAGAGTACTTAAAATACATTTCATTCAGCAATGACGTAATCAAAGACGAAGTTCATAGTGACATACCAACATAAGGAGAAGCCTGCAGAATCGTTCTTTGACTTTCACAGATGTTCTTTAAATTCTTCACTTTGTCTTTTTTATCATACAGCTTGATCTTGGCTTCAATCAATTCCTTGAGAACTCGTTTTTTTTCTGCTTCCGTAATTCTAGCCAAATGTTCTTCGTCTTCCAGCAACTTTGCATTAAGTTCGCTTTGACGCTAAAGCTAAATATTTTTATAAGTTCTGAATGTTAAAGACCTCAAAAAGAATTTTTTAGCGATGCTTCACAGGGGTTTTATAAAATTACGAAGAAGGTAAATTTTTCATTTTAAGCTGCAGATGACTTTACAGTTTTGCATAAAACATACTAAAATTTAAAGTCGATCACCTTGAGACTGTTTCGTTCCTCGCTTACTTTTGCAAGTTCCTCTTCTAGCTTGTCTCGACGTTCCAATTCCTTTTCAACCTTAGACTTTAACTGCCTCAAGAGATCTTGCTTCTTCTTCACCTAAAATTAATTCTAGAGCAATGTAATACTGTATTATAAAAATCGTAACTGTACAAGTAATAAGATTTTCTCTCTTTCTTTTCGCATCTGTTATCCTGCCAAAAAAACACCTTATCACTGTTCAGTATCCTTCCAAATAAGTGTTTCTTTTTATCCTTCACTCTCATAACTGTTAATTATGAGGACTGCGAAAAAATCTTAACCCAGAGTCTTCGATAAGGTCTGTCGCGGCCGCTGGCGAAAAGATGCCGTAGGAAAATGATTGAAGGTTACCATGGATTCCCAAGGGGAAGCTCCAAAGCGGTTGCAGTACTCACTATCTAAGTGAACGGAAACCAGGTTATAAAAGGAATCATTAGACTCCTAAATTTCAGCGTTATTGTTGTCATTGTTGACATCGATGCTATTGTCCAGTGCTCAATCACTTGTTTCTAGTGCTGTTTCAACACGCGCTCAATAGACAGCTTGAGATCTCTGTTGCAGATCTTAAAATTATTGCTATTTGAATTTACTATCTTTATACCATTCCGTTATTTCATTGCTAGGTATAGGTGTTAGGGTCGAATAAGTGTTCAGAAGAGCTGCTGATTTTAAGTATAAAGATCAAGTAAGAATAAAACCGTGGAAGTATAAGAGGGGTGTTCGCAATTAAAGGAAGTCACTATCTGTGAGGTATTTTGAGTATGAAAAGGATCGTTTTTGTAGAGAAGATTAAAGGAACAAAAGAGAAGATATTGAAAGAATTTTAAGAAGAGACATAGAAGCTTGTAGTTGAGGATGTAGGACATAAAGACTGATTATCTCCACAGTGGAAATATTGTAACGTAAGAAAGGACCGATAGGGAGCGTTGAAGGAATTACTTCATTTGTGGTTCTTCAATTCAAGCAATTGTCCGTTAACCTCGACAGGGCTATCAAAATGTACAAATTTTTTTGTCAAGCCAGAGGCGGAAATTCAGATGGGGTTTTTTACAACATTCTTTAGAAAGTACCCAATAGTTCCAACGGGTTATATTAGTGTATATGCTTTCCTCTTAACTTCTTTAGGAAAATTGAACCCGCTTTCGCGCAAACTCTGCTTTTATCAGTTGCCAAGTCCTAGACAGGAAATATCCGTGATAACAGTAATCTCAGAGAAAAAATAGTAAAACTACGCGCATTTAAAAAAAATAAATCAGTGGTTTGTTTCTTGGATATGCATATATTGTTGTTTTTCAGGGCAGTGGTTCGTCCAAGGCGTTGACGGAGTAGATCTGCCTATCATACATCAACGATACTTATCAATCTGTATCAAACCAGACATGTTTTTAATTGTCTCAGCTTTAGTTAAAAAATATTTTGTTCTTTCTTTGGCAGACGGATCCAAACTTCGCAGAGGTTTAAACTAGAAAATTTTGAAAAAAAAGGCAAAGCATAAGCAGTGTTACCTCGTCGTAAAGCGCTTTGTTAACTTGTCCATCTACCGGCAAATCGCCAAGCAACTCAGCATCTGAGATATGTAAAAAAATGTCTCGTCGTTTGGCGTCTTCCCTTTCTTTCTCTCTATTCATCGGGAACCTCAAAATAAGAAAAATTTTTTCTTCACTTGTATCCAAACAGCTATTCAAAAGGTGCATAAGTAATAAATTTGTGATAACAAGCTCTAGTACTTAACTAGGCTAACCAAATTTGATCACATCATGATTATAAACCATTCATTCTCAAACCTTATCTGAAAAAAAAAAAGAGCTTCCACAATTTTCATACTTTTAAAATATTAGCAGTGCAAAAGAAACTTATACATGATTTAACAAGTAAAAAAAATTACTCATAAAATGCCAGTAGGAAAATCTTCCGATGTACAGAACAGAAATAGAGAAGAAAGTAGGATATTTCCAAATAACGTTACTTGGGTGAATACTTTGAAAATTTAGGCTTAGATCATCTGTTTAAAATGTTTCGACATCAAATTTTTGGTACCTCAGTTTTTGAAATTGCTAACTAATTCATAACCACCGGAAAAACATTAAAAATTTTTTAGATGATAAGTTCACCCAAATATGGTCCTTTAATATCATTTATTTAAAGAATAAGAGTAATTGAAAGAAAGATAGCTTGTCAGTGGAACGAACGAAAAATAGGATTAAAAACAGCCGAAACGACTTGATGGCACATTACAACACAAAAAAATTAGTCAACATTTTTTCAACAACTCAATGGTATAGAAAGAAAAAAAGTACCTGAAAAATACGTTGTTACATAGTAACCAAAATGGTCGCAAAAAAATGATGTTAATAAACACTAATGTTTTCAGCACTAAAACATCTTTGGATTTAAGGATTTAAAGCAACAGCTCAATAATGAACTCAGAATTCAAGAACAAACGCACATACAGCAATCAACCATATCTCTAACACAGTTACACTTCGCCTGCCGAAGACAATGTTTTTGAATGGCAAAAGAAAAAGCTAACTAATTAAATTTCAATTTTAGATTACTCGCAACAAAGGGGCATTCTTAAGGTTCTAGAAACATTAAGAATGTTTCCTTTACCTCTTATTTTCAGCTCGAAAACATTATTAGATACTTGTAAAATTTTTGCACCTCTTATAGCTGGCAAATCTGCACGCAGTGTATTTTCTGGTAAAGACTTATTGAGTAATCTTCATCATCAATTTTTCAACAGAAAAAATTCGCTCTACAATGTAAAAAAACAGTAATGATTTTGAAAAAATTTAAAAAAAAATAAATTTAAACAGTAATTAACTACCAGCAAAAAAACTGTTTTTACTTAGCTAATAATAAAAGCAAAAAAAAGTCTTTAAAAATTTACAGAAATAGCTTATAGTGAGTTTGCTTTACATAGGTTCATTGCAAATGCCTAGCTGAAAATGTTTCAGAATTACCAGTGCAATTTGGTTTTAAAAGTTCTGAATTTGCATGAAACTTAACTGACTGTAATTAAACTGCAACACGCGCTTTTCCACGGTGTTCTGTATTGTGTCTATTGCGGTTCCGAAATCAGTAGAGCCTAGAGAAAAAAACACTTTTATTGACAGTAAAGTGTCTGGCAGACGCTGTAAAACCATCTCTAAAAAACCAACGTTTTTGTGGTCACTATATTTTCACTATATTTTACTGTTCAAAATCAGCTTTTTGTGCATGAGACTTCCTGTTTTGTGGAGTTTCACTTATAGCAGCGAGCATTGGCGAAGCCGAAAAGCAGAGGCTGTATCACTCGACGTCTACAAAATGCATGATATCATGGTGTGAACCAGAGAGGTACTCGATAGAACGTTTGCTCGTCGATTTTATGCGTTAATAGGTGTATAGAGATCAGTCAAGTAGATTGCTTTTGCTCAATTAAATAAAAATGGGTAAAAGATCAGTGAAGTCGTCTATGACCTTCTTTTTTCTGAGGAGGATGTGATGAAGTTTGTAAAGATTGTTCTTACTAGAAAAAACTTTCAAGTCACTTTGCTCTTCAAAATAAAAGCTTTGTCAGAAGTATCTGTTCTTGCATTTTCTTCCTTCCTTCACCGTTTTATATCAATTAAATTATTTTTATTTTATTTTATTTTCAGTAAACTGCCTCCTACTTTCAATTGTGAATTCATTTATTTTTATAAACATTATGGCACGCTGTACTGCCGCCCAAAATTCATACTAGTAACAGTAAATGTCAAGTTCAGGATCATTATACTGATACTCCCAGCATTTTCCCACACAGCTACTTTTTCAAATAAATTCTATTTTTAAATAAGATTAATCAAGCAAAAAGAGGTCTTTTGGAAAAAAAACTATCCATTCAGACCAAAAAAATCTTTCACTAAATTTCTTTCACTCCTTTTACTTTGATTCCCAAAAGAAGCTGTTTTTCTGCATTTTTTCTTTTCCCACTAACTAGCTTTTAATAGGAAATTTGAGGTTTATGAACAAAGCTGAAGAAAATATATTACATAGAAAACTGATTAGTGTGCTTAACCTGCGGCCTATGATTGTTTCCACTACATGCGAAGGAGGTTTGCATAAATTAATCAACATAATCTCTGACCTGCTCCTAAACAAAAATTCTTAGAGAGTAGACGGAAAGTGAGAGGAACAGGTGCTGGTCAGCTGTGCTGCGCAGTCTGCCACGGTCAGTCTTTTACCTCTACGTATTCCTGAGAGTCGTTCTTTGAATTTTAGCCTCCTTTAAAGATCTGCTCAGATTGCCTTATAAGTAGTACCATTTTGAGACCTTGTTTTTAGCCTACAGTTTCCTCTGGTTTGTCACATTTGCAAATTTTAATATCAAGATTTGTATCAACTTTATCAGAGTATAGTTTTTTTATGTCTTAAGGTTATATTAGGGTTGTTTCAGAGCTATTCTTTTCTTTGCAGTGCTGACTGGTTACTAGAGTAATATGAGACAGTGACTACATCATTATTTCAGCTGCATCAACGTTATGCGGGAAAGATGGCAGTATTCAAAATTTTTCTATTGCTTTTATCGTACGCGTTTGGGTTCACTGGAAGAATAATATAGTCAGTAAACCAAGACACCACAAGTAACTTCCGTCTCTTCTTGGTCCTACTGAAATATGTAGACAGAGTTATTAAAAATGTCGTCGAACAATTTTCTCTTGACGCAAGTATCCTTGTTTATAACGGATTCGTCGTCAAACGGAGTTGTGGTCATCAGGGCAGATAAACCCGAATTGCGGATCAAGTTTCTTGTTAAATTTGAAGTAGAAGATTCTGTCATAGCTGCTGTAAATGGCAAAATGTAAAATGTACTTATAGAAAGGATTAAACAAACGAATGACCCTTTCGTACAGGTAGGAGAGTGATTACAGCAGTCAATATCTACGATCTAAGAAGGGGTCGCTCAGTTATGACAGTAATGAAAGCATGAACGAAGTCATCTGAAAGTAACCGACAGAATATTGCATATGGAGTTGCAAACATGACAAGCGGACCTCTGACTCAGAGAAGCAGCTATTGCTAAAAACGCTAGTGGTGCAGATTTTATAACGTATGGAATATAATGTATGGAAATCAACAGAAGCTCCTAGCAACCCGCAAAAATTGATCCCTCTGATTTATTGTCAAGCTTTGTAAAATAAAGTACACAGTTAAACATTCTGAATTTTTTCAGAATCACTATTGAGGAAAAAGACTAATTGTAGAGGAAAATGATGCTCTTTATTGTCGAGAACTGAAATTATGGATTTAGGCGATTATGGCTTGTTGCCAAAACTCGTGTTTAGGCGCGTCTTTTTCTCCGTAAATTCCTGGATTAGAAAATGGAATTGTTACTGCTTAATCTGAATACTCGAGTTTTACTTGGTGTTTCCAGATTTCACATAATTTCTTAGACGGTATTTTTGCTAATGAGACTACCTTCTGGTCTTTCCCGATGAAACCTTCAGTACATTATTGGACTTTGTCAACTTTTTTAATTTTTTTTATCACTTTTATTTTGAATGTTATGAAGTTGTTCATACTTGTTCATATGATCGAGAGTTATTTACAGTTGTTTCAAACGAATTGTGATTGTTTAACAAAAGTACAATATCATAGCTGAGAATTATTGATTTTGGGAATTTATTTTTAGCCGCAGTATTTTTTTAACTATGTTTTTCACTGTCTGCGTTGTACCGGTGACTAATGACCTGCGCTATCCCCGTTACCAAAGTAAGAACGCAAAAAGTAGTATTTTGTGTATTTGTATGTGCAAGTCCTGGTAGGTGAATCACTGATATACGTTATTCTCATCTCTGACGGGGAGAGCGCAAGAGCGAATAGCATATAGGTTCTTTTGTTTGATTTTTGAAGGTTATTCACTTTTTAAAATTCTATTCTGTATTGGAGCTATATTTTTCAGGATGCCATTTTTCGAAACTTGTGGGCCGAATGAAGTGCTGGTGATTTCTGGTAAGAGTAATATTGAGTGTTAATTGTCTTGAAGATATACTGAAATTGTTAAGAAATTAATTTTTTGTCTATCAGGAATGTGCCATAGTGCTCCAGTCTACGTAACTGGAGGTCGAGCTTTTGTTTGGCCTTGGATTCAGATGTCACAGCGTATTTCTCTGAATACTATAACACTGGAAGTAATCAGTCCTAGAGTTTATACCCAGAAGGGTGTTCCCATTTCAGTAACGGGGATAGCACAGGTTAATTGATTTTCTTTTAAATTCACTTACCGTTTTGAAAGAGGTAGGATTTTCACTATATTGTTTCATACAAATGCTTTATGGCTTATCGCTGAATAGTCAAAGTTTTATTCTGTACTACAATCGAGCTTCCTTAGGTTAAAGTTGAGTCGAGAAAAAAGGAAACTCTTGCTATTGCCTGTCGGTTGTTTCTCGGCAAAACAGAAGAAGAGATCCGACAGGTAGGTCCGAATTTAAAAACATGGTTTTTTGTTCTTTTGATGCTATTCTTTTGTTGCTTAATTTTACTTTAACTTTCTCTGAAACCTATAGTTCTGCTTTTAGTTCTGCTTTTTTTTTTTTTT